TTATTGCCTTTATCAGTTTTTAGCACTGATCATTAGAGATGTTTTAATGATTTCACAGTAAATATGAAATTATGTCAAGAAAAATGATATCAATACGGGTGATATTATTTTAACTTTTACATGCAATTTGTAAACTGAATTTTCAAGAAAATATACCCACAGTATGGTATAATTAATGTCTAATTTTCAGCAATCTTGCAATGTGTTCATAATATGGAAATACCTTGTAGTGCAGTTTCAAATACTGCTTCCCTTCCATGAGCTGACCTAAACCTTTCATTGACTTCCTTTCATTAGGCTCAAAAGCTTCAAGTAGTCTCATGTAAGTCCGTTCAGAAAGAATATCGGCATACTGGGTTTCTTCACAATACTTCAAATACAGTGTAACTGTTCTTGTACGTACACTATTTAGAATGATCTTAGAAACTTTGAGTGTAATACCAGACAAGATTTTATAAGTGCATTCTCCAAATGGTGAATTAGTCATTATAGCTGGTGAAAGTATGAACTCTAAAAAGTTTTCTATCAGTTGAACAGTAGCCTTTTCTCTTAATTGTTTTTTTCTGTGAAACTTGCTCTCCAATACCAACAACCTCAGCATGTTTGCCAGCAGCAGAAAATTTATATCGTGATAAATCTGGAATATAGTCTTTGAGTTGATTATAACTGTAATCTTGTACTAGCAGAGAGCGAATTTGTCTCTGTGTTCCCCAACTTGACATACTACTATATGCTTTTGAAAATGACTCAAGAGTCTTATCTTTGCTTGCATTAGATTCATATAGAGCCTCCTCTAATAGTGATTCCTATTCAAAAATCAATATACCAAGTACACTGTGCATTATCCTTTTTGCTTTCCTGACATAATCATTTTTTGTCCGCTCAGATGCAAGATCAAAGTTAACTGTTTAAGTTTTTTTCACAGGACTTATATCTACTGTTTCTAGAAATGTGTTCAGTGCAATTTTCTTTTTTCTAGATGGACATTCCTGTGAATCTTGCCACTCTGAATATTGAGATGACTGTGAATACACAGTTTCTGATATGCATTCATCCATGCTGTCCGTGCTAATTGCAAATATTCCTAAAACATAGATGTAAATAATTTAATTTCCAATCTCAAAACATTTAAAACTCTTAAACAGTAAAGTAGGCTATAAATCTGACAGTAGAATTGATGATTAAAACACACTCACTTGCAAACCACTTTGATAATTGCATGCCCCTATAAAGATCAAACTCAATTAGTTTTGAAGCAGAAAATCTTATCAAAACATGTTAGCTGCTATTAACAGTTGCTGTTTGTTTCAAGTGTAGTATGATAAACATGATTTAATTATTACTTATTTAAATAAACAGTAGAAAACATTGAAATTGTTAAAACAAGGACCTACGTCTCAATATGGTTGAAGAGTAAATAATTTGAGAAAGTTTTATTTGTGGCATGTTTTTTTTAATTTTCAGCCTAATAATATATTTGTAATCATTAGAATTCCTCAGGTATAAAACTAGAGGCTCTAAAGAGCCTGTGTCGCTATCCTAGGTCTATGTGCATAATCATCAATGGACTCTCTCAAACATTGTAGAAAAGAATATAATTCATGACAAAATTCATTTTTGTTTATCAAAATAATAGACAAAACTTGTATTTTACCCCTATGTTCTATTTTTAGCCATGCCGGCCATCTTGGTTGGCAGGCAGGACTCATTTTTAAAACTAAATATCCCAATGATGATTGTGGCCAAGTTTGGTTAAACATGGTCCAGTAGTTTCAGAGGAGAAGACTTTTGTAAAAGTTAACGGACGACAACGTAAAGGACGGTCGACGGATGCCAAGTAATGAGAAAAGCTCACTTGCAGGTGAGCTAAAAATACTAGCAAAATTATATAACCATGGACATTTATATACTAGGAATTTGTCTCCAGCAAGACATATTTTACAAGTCTAATTTTTCAACAATTGCTCCTGTTTTCTATTTTAATGTCAATCATTTAGCAGACAACCAGGTGTAAACAGTTGCAAGCAGTCTACAGTCAAAATGGTTTATTATATATATGACTACCAAATTGTTATTGAATATATTTCCTCATCCATCTAAATATTTCCAGCTTCTTTTGCAACTTTGGCTGTCTGTTTGCATTGTATGACTTCTCCATAAGACTCATTTTGTGAAATCTGTAAAAGAAGAATACACTTTCAACTGTTTTATAACCTTATACATGCAATTCTAGTAGGATTTCTATGTATACCTTCATCTCAGCTTTAATTTATTAAAGTCAGGAGATATTGTATGAGATATATGACTAATTACCAAAAAAAACCCCAATTCAATAAGTTTAGGTTTTTTCACCTTTCAAGAGAGATCATCTTTCCACGTTTTAAAGGTATTTCACCTTTCAAGAATTATGCTCACTTTATTTTCAGTAAAATATTGAAAACTCAGAAAAAAAATATTTTCAAAGTTTTGCTCTTGATACTATCATTTGATCCTGAAGAAGCTTCTGTCAAAGTTTCGTAAAATTCCATGAAGGTGTATCAAATTCATTGGTGTCTAAAAGAAACAAGAGCTGTTCGCATAGCGGGGCCAATTTCATGCATTTGAGTTCCTACTGCGAAATTCAGTATTGAGGCAAAGACGTTTTGAGATTTTCAGCTATTCATTTTATATAATCATTGCCTCTGTGTTAGATTGACACATGGTTACTGATAGGTCCATCTGAAAGAATTATACTAACCCCGGAATGAAATTCTGAGTTTTGTATGATGTTTCTACATACAAAAGTTATATAGGTGCGATACAACACTATATCAATATTTTCCTCTGAACTTTCAGAGAACTACACTGAACTTTAGTTTACATGCTCTAAGGTTTGTTTAATTCCCATTCATAATTAATAGAAGGATGCATTCGGATTCATTGGAGTACAGAAAAAAAACAGGTCAGCAACATAGGGGCACAATTAGTTCCCATAGTGGTGTGAATTATTAGTCAACAACCAAAAAATAACAAAGATGTGGTAGATAAGACATGTTAGAAACTTGAGCAAATTATTAGATTGTTCATCATCATGTTCACTGCAGAAAATTTTGTTCTTTACAACATATGTTGAAGCGTATTCAAGAACAACGTTTGTGTGGACATTGCTTTTATTTGTTTAAAGGGTTTTAATTTTTCCTTGTGTATAGAAAACAGTTAAAAATGCCAAGTATTATAAAATTTTCAGCTCCCGTATTTCTAAATATCCGAAGGATTGACTGAAATATAGATATATTATATCGGTCTCACTAATTAGCGACAAGAAGAATTTTAGCGACAAGAAGCATCAAGAAGAAACGTTTCTTGTCGCTAACTAGTGAGACCCTATTATATAGTCACCTGGACTTCTCTAATCCACCATCCACCAGTTACACTCAATGCTTAAGAGTCATGTCGGGGAATCTTGATCGATGCATGGTGTATGGAGAATGTCCCGCTGTCTGCACATTTAAGAACCCTTGCAACAACTCTTTTAAGAGGCCGCATGTTGCCCATTTAAAGGCAAATTGTTTGTCTGAATCCAAACTTCTTTTCAAGCGGCAATCAAATTTCCAATCCAGCATCCCAGCTGACCAACCTTACAGAACTTACCTATTGTTAATGTTCTTATCTTTATATATATGAAATATTTTCCACTGGACGTTAAGTAAACATATCTTTCAGGTTTTCAAGAAGTTTCATCAATTTTCTCAGAACCACATTTGGTTAATGCTACTAGTGGAATAAATTTCCTAGTAGTATTTTTGTAGATCTTTTGACGGAAGATAATATTTCAATTAATGTAATTGATAAAGCGGTATTATATCGTTTCACATAAAGAAATTGGTGTTATTTCAAAATCCAATGCATGCAAAGTAGTTCACTGTTATCTTTGCTAATGGGATCATTCATAGAAGCTATGAAGGATTTAAGATGAGTTATTAGTTAAATTAATCTTTGTCAAAGATTACTCCTTTGTGGCAGGATTCTCTGAATGTTCAATAATTCCTATTTTTTCAATTGGCTATTTATAAAAACCTGATTTGCAAACAAGAAAAAATGTAGAAGGATGGCTATAGCTAGTTTCATACTTCATAGCTATCATATTGAAGTAAAAAGGAGAATATTGACAACATTTTACACAATCTGATACAGTTTTTGATGTAAATACATCATCTGAAAGTAAAAGCCATATAATATTTATTTGTTAGATATAACAATCTGATTTGAAGTTTCTGAGAAAAATGTGAGAAAAATTTCAACTTCGGGCATTATGTGCAAGAATAACAAAGCAACAGATAAACAGAAAGTTGATAAAAGATGAATGTGAAAATGTATCCCACAGTAAAGCATGTCCACATGAAGCCCAATATCAATTTCAGAAAGCTCTGATTCGTAGTTCACATGAAGAATGCGATAGACATATCATGTGACGAACAAACATACGGTCAGATGGCCAACCGACAGGGCCGCCGGTATAGCACTAGACCCCCTCCTTCAGAGTAGTGGTGTAAAAACACCTACATTTGGAAACCTCAAATTCAATGGTGAAGAAAAGAAAAATAAATTATAAGAAATCCACTGCTAAATCAAGAAACACTTCTTATGACAGTGAACACTGATTGAAAAGGATAATTGGAATATAAGTAAAAAAAAAAGGGTGAACAATCCAAAAAAGCGATAAAAAATCAAAAGTCAAAGGAAGACTGAAAATATCATGGACAAAAACGAAAAACAAACTATATCAGTCTACAAAACACTAGAGAGCAAACTTTAAGTTGAAGTAACAAAAACCACAACAAAATAAGGACAACAAATCAACTGATACATTATAAATTTGCTAAGTATGCAGAATTTCCTTCATTTATCTTGGCACTGAAGACTCAGACCTAACATCTGGAAAAAACTGAAACTTCAAAATAATAACGCATGTTATTGATTTAAAAATTCAGTTATTTAATTGTAATCAAAAGTTTTGTTGCTGCATTTTTCGTATATTTTATTTCAATATAAACATATAATAATCATTAACAAAATAAAACAAAATTCTGCTTATAAAGAATCTTTATCTCTGAACTTGATTGTCAAAGGATTACATACAATACAATTAAAGCCTTTGTATGAAGTCAATACAAGAATATATCGACCTGAAAGAAGCATATCGACTGAGGATGAAGTCAGAGGTCAATATACTTCTTTAGATGGATATATCATTGTATCGACCTCATACAAGGCAACCATTGTTTTTTTACTATTACTGTCCATGAGAGAAATAGAGCAAAAAAATTATTTTATTGGCTGTTATGATTGCGTCACAAAGTGTTGAGGTTTCTAGATTTCTATTTTTAGTTTTTTTTTAAATAACTGTGCAATATCACTTTTCAATCTGCTGTTTTCAGTCTACCTTTGAAAATACAGTTGAACATGTGACTCATTCTGAAAGAATCAAATTAATAAGAATATACAAAATAATAATATAATGTGTTATTCAGCTTATACACCCAGTCAGATTCATCAAAGATTCATGCAAAACCTGTTTTAGAGGTAATATACTCAAAACAGTACTCAGTAACTAATATGTGTGCACCAAAGGTACATATTTTACAGCAGTTTAAAATAAAATGTGTTTTCAAAATCAAATTAATTCTTAAATAATAACAGTAAACAGTAAAACTTAAATGAAATTTTAAATCATAAAAATTAATAAATTGTCTATATAATAGACCTCCCAACTATCCCAATTTATGGGGATATCCCCAATGAGAGGTGTTTACCTGAATTTTGAAATTCTTTATTATATAAACTGAACAACTCAAAACAGGCATTCAAATGAGTTAAAAGGGTTGAAGCACATTCATACTCATTCAAACAATATAGTAGAAGTTTAAAAATCTTATACAATATAAGAGGAGCATTAGGTCCTCTTGCGCTTAAAATTACCTTTGGAGATTTTGAAAAGTTGGCAGGTATGATAAGAACGCATACAAATTTTGAGAGAACAAATAAAAAAATCTTGACATATTTTCACATACATTGTATAAAGAATTACATATTCTTCATTTAAAACTAATGTCATCTCATTTACATAAATATTAGTATGGACTCTCATCTAAATGTATCACATTTGCACTGTCAGGACATAAGGCAATCATCAATCAATCAATGAATCAAGATTTATATACCTGGAGTGACAACAATGATATTTGACAAACCTAAAACGTAGCTTTTATCAATAGATTCTACAATTTTCATAGGATTCTCGAAAAAATAGTTCAAGTAAATCTGATTCATTATGCAATGTTTATTGATGATTAACAAAATGACACATCTGTATACTTTACTCTATGCCAATTTCTTGAATAATCAGTTTATTTCAAAACAGGTAAAACGAGAATGTGCTATGTTTAAAACTTTTAATTTTCTAGACCCTTATTGGCAACAACTTGTTTCCCAAAGGGTTTTACTGAAAACACTTATCTAATATTCTAGGACTTTATTAAGACTGACTTTATTTTGGAGCGAAAAAATCCTTTTAATCTGTTATGTCAAAAGATTATAAGAGGGGACGCCATTAAAGAACATCAATAGATAGACATTTGATTTGTTGATCTTTGTCATCTATAAACTTTCACCTGATTTTTGGCTATTTTTAAAATGAATGATTCCTTTACTTTAGGCATTTCCACTTATTATTCTTCAATCAGCAGCATGGATAATAATATGAAAATATTACTGCATTAAGTTTTGTGAGTTATTGTAGATTACCACACTAATGAATATATATAAAAAATATAACATGACATCCAAAACCTACCCCAAACTTAAGGCAGTGTGTTCATTATCTTTACCCTTAATGTATGGCAGTACTTATTTTAAACTTAATTAATTACAAATTGATGACCCTCGAAATGAAACTACAAAACAGTCTTAACAAAAGCATAACAAAGGCTTAAGCAATCCAAACAATAAAACATTTATATCTAAAAAGTCTTTAAAATTATCACAGTGATTCACAAATAATCAAATTCTATTATTATACTGATATCAATTATATTCTATAAATCTAAATTAATAAGTCGTCCAACTCTTTCCATAATATTACAGGTTCTGGATGTTTTCTTTCTTTTAAGTAGGAATCCATCTTTCCATCAAATAAACCAAAAATTCCACCTGTAAAAGAATTTTATTTTACAACACCTTGACTTGTCATTGAAGCAAATTAGAAAAGAATATCAAAACAAAGTCATAACATTTCCACTTTTAAATGAATCAATACAAATATTATGAAGAGGAAATGTATGATGAAAATGACATGAATTCTATAATAACATGCAATTCAGCTTAATAATACAAATTGAGTTTACAAAAATGTGAGGACTGTTTCATAATTTTTAATATGTCATGGGTCAAGAGCTTTTTTTTTAATTGCAAAACCACTATTTCAAAATTATAATTTAACTGGAGTACTAAATGAAAATCGGAAGAACTCTGATGTTCCAGAAATGTGTTGTGGTGCTATTCTAGAGATTTTTAGGGATAAAATATAAATTGTGTGAAATGTGATACAAAATATTAGAAAAAACCTCAACATAAAAATAACCTAAAGACAATTTAATATAAAATACAGGTCACAAAGTCACATTAGGATACAGCAGTGAAATATCAGTTATATTCATGTCTGTTAAATCTACAAAACTCTGGTTTGTTTAGAGTTTGACATAATTTTAACTCGGGCTTATTTAGAGTTTATATAAATATTGTATAGACGTGTTTTGTTAAAGACCATATGTTGATGTTTAAATGTCTTTTGTAATTAGTATCCATTGGGTTGCTGTCTCATTGATTTACGCCCCACGTCTCTTTTATTGACATGTATTTACCTGTATGTATAAATAAAATTCTGTTTCCTTGGAACCTATCTGGATTTGATGTTAGTTCTTGCACTAGCCCGTTTGCTGCTTTACCAGTATAACAAGGATCTAATATAATTCCAGTACTTCTACTCACTGACTGTATAAATTCTAATAAACAGACAAGACAATGTTACTGTAAAAAAATGACTACAGAAGTATTGGCTATAATGGCAGATACTTAACTTGCAAATCATTATCGTTTTTTATATTTTACCAGGTCAATAATAAAACTTTAAGATAAAGGCAGGTCCTTACATTTTCCGTAATGAAAATAATAATTAAAACATTTGTTGAATTCAAACAAACTCACAAAAAATTATAAACAAAACAAAACAAGTAGATGGGTTTTCAATGGACAAGGGTAGAGCCAAACATTATGTTTTTCCTCACTACAAAACCATACAAAACAATAGACAAGAAAGATGCAGAAATATAATAAATCGCATGGTGGTTGTGGTGATTAATGGCCAAGTTTCAGTATTATAATCTGAAGTTTAATTGTCAGACAGAATGAAAGACTTTAAAAATTTATAGTTCATCAGACATATGAAAAGAAATGAAGAATTGTATTATTTTAGAAAGTCAGCAAAACATAATAATACAAGTTGAAAAACTAGAGGCTCTAAAGAGCCTGTGTCGCTCACCTTGGTCTATGTGCATATTAAACAAAGGACACAGATGGATTCATGACAAAATTGTGTTTTTGGTGATGGTGATGTGTTTGTAGATCTTACTTTACTGAACATTCTTGCTGCTAATTATCTTTATCTATAATGAACTTGGCCCAGTAGTTACAGTGGAAAATATTTTGTAAAAATTTACAAAAATTTACAAAATATATGAAAATTGTAAAAAATTTACTATAAAGGGCAATAACTCCTAAAGGGGTCAATTGACAATTTTGGTCAAGTTGACTTATTTGTAGATCTTACTTTGCTGTACATTATTGCTGTTACAGTTAATCTCTATCTATAACAATATTCAAGATAATAACCAAAAGCTGCAAAATTTTCTTAAAATTACCAATTCAGGGGCAGCAACCCAACAACGTGTTGCCTGATTGGTCTGAAAATTTCAGGGCAGATAGATCTTGACCTAATGAACAATTTTATCCTCGTCAGATTTGCTCAGAGATATGAGCCAAAAACTGCATTATACCCTATGTACTATTTATTAGCCATGTCGGCCATCTTGGTTCGTGGGCGGGGTCATCGGACACATTTTTTAAACTAGATACTCTAATTATGATTTTGACAAGTTTGGTTAAATTTGTCTAAGTAGTTTCAGAGGAGAAGATTTTTGTAAAAGATAACAAAAATTTACGAAAAATGGTTAAAAATAAATTGAATATAAAGGGCAATAACTCCTTAAGGGGTCAACTGACCATTTTGGTCAAGTTTGACTTATTTGTAGATCTTACTTTGCTGAACATTATTGCTGTTTACAGTTTATCTCTATCTATATTAATATTCAGATAATAACCAAAAACGGCAAAATTTCCTTAAAATTACCAATTCAGGGGCAGCAACCCAACAACGGGTTGTCCGATTCATCTGAAAATTTCAGGGCAGATAGATCTTGATCTGATAAACAATTTTATCCCGCCATATTTGCTCTTAATGCTTTGGTTTCAGAGATATAAGCCACAATCTACATTTTACCCCTATGTTCTTTTTTGAGCCATGGCGGCCATCTTAGTTGGTTGGCCGGGTCATCGGACACATTTTTTAAACAAGATACCCCAATAATGATTGTGGCCAAGTTTGGTTAAATTTGGCCAAGTAGTTTCAGAGGAGAAGATTTTTGTAAGAGTTAACGGACGACGGACGAGAGACGACGACTGACGCCAAGTGATGAGAAAAGCTCCCTTTGGGCCAGGTGAGCTAAAAAAGAATTCTCTTTAAGGAATGGTAAACTGGTCTTCTACATTTTTAACTGCCCTGTGCATGGTTCACTACATACAAATGCAAATCTTGCAATTTGAAAAGAAAATTAAATATCATAGAAATTTGTAAGCTCTATTTACATACTGGAGTACAGATACATAATTTTCGGTGACAGATTATTGACAAGTTGCAGTTACATAAGGGTCTGGAATCTTCATTTCTGTATTCTTTCATTTTTTTTCTCTATTCTTTATATTTTATGTCCATTATTCTCTATTCTTAATATCTTATGTCCATTATTTTCTATTCATTGTATTTTAGCACTAGATTATTCTCTTTTCATTATATTTTGGCTTAATTTCTCTTTTCTTTATATTTTTGGCCCATTTTTTTGTAATAGTGGCCCTTTATTATCTATTCTGTAAATCCCATCTAGACCCTCTTACATTGACTTTCAGTCTTTATCTTAACTATTCATGTTAAAAAGTAAAGCTATTCACCATTTTTCTTAGCAATAAATAGACTTTTCAAATGGTTCATATCCTTTGACATCTTATTTGTAGAAAGAAAACAATTCTAGTATTTGAAAAAAAAATCAGATTAAAAGGGAATTCCCCCTCCACAAAACATTAGTAAATAGCCTTCTTTTAAATTTTCTAACTAAAATGTTTAACATGAAATGAAACTGTTTAGTTTGGTGATTTGTTTCACTTGTTTTACTTATGGAAAAAAAGTCTTTACTGCAATAAGTATCTATATGGTTTGACATGAGAGAATACAAATTTGGTATGACACAAATATGTTTCCACGCATTAGAAATGTGTTATTGCGAACCAAATGAAAGTTTTCCACAGAGTCATCTGCTCTTGACCAGGGTATTTAAACTTTTGTCTATTCTCTTGTCCTATTGAATAAATACAATAGCTATTGTTCCCTGTGTAGTTTTTTCACTGGGACCTTTAAATTTCTTCTAGGAGAAATCTATCACTCATTGATTAATTTACCTGACCAAAAATTATCTTCTTTTTTGGGGGAAATAGTTGTATAAACTCGCATAAACTGCATGCAATATTGTATTTGATCAATATCAATAATATATTTTCAATCTGTTCAATATAAACACTGATTTAATTATAAAAAGTTTATTTCTTACAAAATTTTTAGTATTGTTCCAATAAATTTGCATGTTTTTGTTGTTGTTCAGTTATAGAATACATTTATCAAGACCTTAATGTAAACACAATAACTTTCAAGTTTTCATTTGTCAAACACACAAAAAAAAGCAACTTTTAATAGGGAAAATATAAAAAAATTTGTTCAGAAATCAATTTTTAATTTTTGCATCAGAGTTTAGATTGAAACTATTAAAAATGAATTATTGATATTGAATAAATACAACACCACATGCAGTTTTTTGAGTCCTTATTTAGTATTTGTACATGTATTTTCATTATTTACAGTTCAATTTTTTGTTCAGGTAAGTTAATCAGTGAGTGATAGATTTCTCTTGGAAGAAATTTAAAGGTCCCATCAAATAAACTACACAGAGAACAATAGCTATTGTATTTATTAGATGGGACAAAAGAACTTACAAAAGTTTAAATCGACAGGTAACTTGCAGGTGAATCTGTGGAAAAGTATCATTGGGTTCGCAATAAAATAGAGTAAGCTGCAGCACAAAATATCAGGCCTGTTGACTTCCTTCCTTATGCACTATAAACAAGTGTTTTTTACTTTTTATCAGTTAATTTCAATCTTAATTTTGCTATAAACAAAAGGAGGGATTTATGTTAGAACAGGAGTTTTAAACTTATGTTTCTCTCTATACTTCTGAAATGTGTTAAAAATAGAGATAGCTTCAGATAAAAATTTCAAGGCTAAAGATTTCCTTCTGCATGCACTGTAAATAATTGTTTTGCACTTTGTATCAGCTAATTTCAATCTCCTTTTCTATATAAACAAAAAGAGGGAGGAGATATCTTAAAACATAAGTTTTAAACTTCCTTGAAAAATAAGACATTTTTATCTCAACGTTCTTAATGTGTTAAAAATAAAGATAGCACCAGAGTTGAGTTCTAGAACTGTTTATTACCTACCTATGCATTATAAATTATCCATTTCTTTTTAATATGAATGAAAGGAAGAAGGTTTCTTTAAAACAAAAGTGTTAATATAAGTAAGAAGATGAGGTATGAGTGCCAATGAGACAACTCTCGTTCCAAGTCACAATGTATAAAAAGTTAACAATTATAGGTCAAAGTACGGCCTTCAACACGGAGCCTTGGGCCTTGGCTCACACCAAACAGCAAGCAATAAAGGGCCCAAAAATGACTAGTGTAAAACAATTCAAACAGTCTAATCTATATAAAAAACAAGAAACGAGAAACACCTATGAACCACAGCAACAAACGACAACCACTGAACAACAGGCTCCTGACTTAGGACAGGTGCATAAAAATGCAGCGGGTTCAAACGTTTGAACAGGTGCCAACCTTCACCCTAACCTGAGACAGTAGTGTAACATTACAACATAAACATACACAATATAAAATATCAATTGAAATGTTTTAAACATTTTAAACAGGACCCTTTTCCTTCGACTTTAAAACACTGTAATCTATAGCCATCCAGATAGAAAAAAATCATAAGACAAAAATTTATTGGTTCATGCTCGTCTTAAAAAAATCTCAGAGAAGTTGTGCATATCAGGTGAAGGAACACACATCCATGGTATAGAATCGGTACATCAACATTTATATCACAAAGAGTGTATCACTGATTCAAAGTAATATAATAGGTGAATATTCTGATCTACTTAAACTTATTTCTAGCTAATAAATATAATGCAAATGACAATTATGTAGTGCAATAGCAACCAGTAACTGGTTTCAATTTTTCTATTTCATTTAGGAATAGAGGTATTTGACACTAAAAATATGACTACAAACTACAAATATGTCCCTCAGTAGATAATCTAAATTTTACACACAAACCTTGTTCTTCAGGAGTAGATAAGCCATACCCACATCCTTTGTAACCATCAACAATATCTATTATGTCATCAGCACAAACTGAATCACCAAGTCCGACTTCTTTTAATGCGTCGTTGATGTGATCAATAAATGATTGCTTGTTGTCACTAACAGTTATTGCATGGATTCTGTATTTAAAATAAGTTTTCATAACTAAACTAAAGATGTATATATAAAAACTTGATTTTAGTATTTTAATAAATATATATATATATATATATTTCATGTCCTTTATACAGCAAGGTATATAAAAATAATTCCATCCACCTTCAAATCAAATTGTCTTGCAAAATGAACCGTTACTTTCTGTTGCTGTGATCCCTAGCTAATTTTTAATGACATCATCACTTATCTGGCAGCTTTTTAATACTTTAAATATTTTTAAATGTTTATGAGAAACTAATACTCCTTCTGTTTGCTCCTGACTATTTCTCCATTTATGATAGTTATTTTTTTTATTTAACATGCTCGCTAAGGCTCGCATGTTGGAAATCTAAAGCTTAACTATCTTGGGTGGAGAAATATCTTAACGCACATGCAACAGAAGGGGAATCTATATATAAAAGCAGCAAAAGGGATGATTTTTTTTTCAATCTAAACCTATAAATATAAACCTGAATTCATCTTAAGCATGTTAAGTTCACAAACATTTTAAGATTAATCAAAGTATTACATTTTTTTCAAGACTACTTTTCCACTTGAAAAATTTGATATTCCTCAACATTCTATGCAATTCTGACTTTCTTTTACCCTATGAATATTGTCAGAGAGACCATGCTTTAGGTATATAAATAATATTGATTTTAATGTAGTATGTTCTTCCTCTTTGAAAACTATAAATGTCAACAGTTATTAAACTATGAGTTTTAAGTACTTGATAGCATAGCTAAGCTTGGAAAGTCATTTGTTTAAATAATACAGAAAAGGGATATCTAATATCACATAAGTAGTTTTAAATTTTTATCAGTTGAACTGACCTTTTAACAGAAGATTCTAAACCTTTCATATTCCTCTACAAAAATACAACAACAAAAATAGTTTAGGTTCCAAAGTAACTTCAGCTATCTGATGCAACAGGCAGAACCTATCCTCAATATGCATAATATTTATCCTCAATATGTTAAAATTTGATTGGTTAAAGCAGATAGATATACCAGTACCTGAGTTTTGATTGGTTTAGATAGTTAGCTACAGAAAGTCCAGCCGCTGTTCCACCACTTCCACAGGCGAACACAATATCATCAAAGTCTTCTAAAACTCCCTAAATAATTATCAATGGTATCATTGGACAGAGTTCTTATTTATTTGGCAATTTTTTTTCACAAAATATCAATCAAATACAAACCCTGCACATTAGTTTCTAAAAATGGGAGTATTTAAAATGCAGATTGAAAATTTTACATGGCCTATGTTTTTAAAAATAAAACTGTGAGACCACACCATTAATAATGTTGGAGGAATTAACCTGGACTCTGCCATTAAAGAAGATATGTATGTTTTATTCTTTCATCCTTTGGTCTTCAACTGATAATTGTCTCTCATTGTTGAAGGCCATACAGTGACCTATATTTGCTAACATCCAGGTCTCTGTGGATAGTTGTCTCATAGGCAATCATACCACATCTCATTATTTATATCAAACATTTTTATAACAAGAAATGATTGTAACAGGATGCTGTTACGAAGTCTCCCAAACGAAGCTCCCATAATTCATAATTCCCAGGGTCGCCTGACATTGGGCAACGTCCAGTGAAAATTGGTTTTGTCCAGTAAAGTTATATGCATTAGTGATGCCTGGGGACTAACCTTGTATATCATTCAAATCATCTTGGCATGACAAACCAGAATATATATGGTTTAGGGGTGGGGATCTCAACCATTTACAAGATACTAGAATATTGGGGGTGGGGAGGAACCCCTGGGGACTGGCCCTATACGTCATTCAAATGTTCATTACATGACGAACAGGAATATATATGGTTTAGGGGTGGGGATCTCGACCATTTACAAGATATTAGAACTTTCTCAAATGGCAAGGGGTGGGGGTGACCGCTGGGGACTAACCCTGTATAACATTTGATGTGCTTTATCATGACAAACCAGAATATATATGGTTTAGGGGTGGGGATCTCAACCATTTACAAGATATTAGAACTTTCTAAAATGGCAGGGGGTCGGGATGACCCCTGGGGACTAACCCTGTATATCATTCAAACCATCTTAGCATAACAAACCAGAATATATATGGTTTAGGGGTGGGGATCTTGACCACTTTCAAGATATTAGAACTTTCTTAACTGGCAGGGGGTGGGGGTAACCCCTGGGGACTAACCCTGTATTTCATTTGATGTGCTTTATCATGACAAACCAGAATATATATGGTTTAGGGGTGGGGATCTCGACCATTTACAAGATATTAGAACTTTCTCAAATGGCAGGGGGTGGGGATGACCCCTGGGGACTAACCCTGTATATCATTCAAACCATCTTAGCATGACAAACAAGAATATATATGGTTAAGGGGTGGGGATCTTGACAACTTAGAAGATATTAGAACTTTCTTAACTGGCAGGGGGTGGGGGTGACCCCTGGGGACTAACCCTGTATAACATTTGATGTGCTTTATCATGAGAAACCAGAATATATATGGTTTAGGGGTGGGGATCTCGACCATTTACAAGATATTAGAACTTTCTCAAATGACAGGGGGTGGGGATGACCCCTGGGGACTAACCCTGTATATCATTCAAACCATCTTAGCATAACAAACCAGAATATATATGGTTTAGGGGTGGGGATCTTGACCACTTTCAAGATATTAGAACTTTCTTAACTGGCAGGGGGTGGGGGTAACCCCTGGGGACTAACCCTGTATTTCATTTGATGTGCTTTATCATGACAAACCAGAATATATATGGTTTAGGGGTGGGGATCTCGACCATTTACAAGATATTAGAACTTTCTCAAATGGCAGGGGGTGGGGATGACCCCTGGGGACTAACCCTGTATATCATTCAAACCATCTTAGCATGACAAACAAGAATATATATGGTTTAGGGGTGGGGATCTTGACAACTTAGAAGATATTAGAACTTTCTTAACTGGCAGGGGGTGGGGGTGACCCCTGGGGACTAACCCTGTATAACATTTGATGTGCTTTATCATGACAAACCAGAATATATATGGTTTAGGGGTGGGGATCTCGACCATTTACAAGATATTAGAACTTTCTCAAATGACAGGGGGTGGGGATGACCCCTGGGGACTAACCCTGTATATCATTCAAACCATCTTAGCATGACAAACCAGAATATATATGGTTTAGGGGTGGGGATCTTGACAACTTAGAAGATATTAGAACTTTCTTAACTGGCAGGGGGTGGGGGTGACCCCTGGGGACTAACCCTGTATAACATTTGATGTGCTTTATCATGACAAACCAGAATATATATGGTTTAGGGGTGGGGATCTCGACCATTTACAAGATATTAGAACTTTCTTAAATGGCAGGGGGTGGGGGTGACCCCTGGGGACTAACCCTGTATTTCATTTAATGGGCTTTATCATTTAGAACATTTTCAATTAAAAAGTTTGTGTCTATCACGAACGGTTTTCAATTTATAATCATTTGAAAATTTTAAAAAATAAAATCCCATAGGGTTCTATAGTAAAACCCTCTTTTCTTTTTGCCCCTCAAAGTACCCCTTTATAAACCCCATTGCAAAAAAAAAACCCTGATTGCACCACTAGACATGTTAGTCTAACATATTGTGAAACCCTAAGTTAATCCAACAAGCGGTTTTGGAGAACGGGTGCGGACAAGTTCAAATTTAAAAGCGGCGGAAGAAGAAGAAGAAGAAGAAGAAGAAGAAGAAGAAGAAGAAGAAGAAGAATAATAATAATAATAAGAACTGAGCAAAAACAATAAGTCTTCCCAAACTTCGTTTGGGAGACTTAATTATACAGCTTTTCAACAAGAGTACACACGGTGAAATGTCTCGCCTTCTTAACTAACCATTGATATTATGTTGATAGTCCTAAATATAAAGCTTTACTACAACTATCACATAGGATAACAGGATCCAAGAAAATGAGGTCAAGGTCAGATAAACCAAACTGGAAATACATGTACACCTTACAATCATTTTATACACCAAATATGCTTTAAATATAGTTGACCTATTGCACATCTAAGAAACAAACTTAACCAGGAAAACTTAACATTGATCAATGAACCATGAAAATCAGGCCAAGGTCAGATGAACCCTGCCAGACAGATATGTACACCTTACAATCATTACATGCTTTAAACATAGTTGACCTTTTGCATATAGTATCTAAGAAACAAACTTAACCAGGAAAACTTAAGATTGACCAATGAACCATGAAAATGAGGTCATGGTCAGATGATAATTGCCAGACAGACATTTACACTTTACAATCTTTCCATACACCATATATACTTGACCTATTGCTAATAGTATTAGAAAAACAGACCAAAAAACAAAAACTTAACATATGGTAATGAACCGAAATGAGGTCAAGGTCAAATAAAACATGCCAGACTGACATGTACATCGTAAAATATTTGTATACACCAAATATAGTTGACTTATTGCATACAATATTAGAAAAACAGATCAAAACACAAAATCTTAACTGTAACCATTGAACCATGAAAATGAGGTCAAGGTCAGATGCCATATGCCAGTTGGACATGTACACTTTACAACCATTCCATACACCATATATAGTAGACCTATTGCTTATGGAATCTGAGATATGGACTTGACCACGAAAACTTAACCTTGTTAACTGATCCATGAAATGAGGTCGAGGTCAAGTGAAAACTGTCTGACGAGCAGGCAGACCTTGCAAGGTACGCACATACCAAATATAGTTATCCTATTACTCATAATAAGAGAGAAATTAAGAATACTAAAAATGTTAACTTTTTTTTCAAGTAGTCACTGAACCATGAAAATGAGGTCAAGGACAATGGACATATGACAGAAGGAAACTTCATAACATATGGCATCTATATACAAAGTATGAAAGATCCAGGTCTTCTACCTTCTGAAATATTGAGATTTTAAGAAGATAGCTAACGCCGCCGCCGCCGCCGCCGGATCACAGAAGTCGCAGGCTCGACAAAAACTAGAAAACTATAAAGGACCAAACTATATCAAAAAGATAATTATTGGTATATGTAAAAAAATGGTACTGTATAAAATAAACAATTTTCTTGTGTCATATGTTAATGCCTAACCAATTTTTGGCAGAAATACTGAACATATATTAGCAATTTTAATACCTGAGAAATCATTTCTTGGAATGCTGTTATATAACCATATAATCCAACAACATTAGATCCACCAATGGGTACCAAATAAGAATCTTCTCCTGTTGTCTTCCTATAAAATATATAACTGTCAATGGGAGATAACTCCAAACGTAATTTCCAAAGTAATTTTACCGTTATTTTTCTGTTTAACATCATATATACTAATAAAATATCAATAACAATAGTCTGTTTGTACAAATGTTTGTAAAGATGAACTTCCGATGATGAATTTCCCAGTTTCTAATTTCATTTGCCTCAGGTTTTAGGAGTTGTCCAATACCACAGAGTCTTTATGATAGGGACAATTAAATCAATGATAGATTAAGGTATCTGGAGTGTCTAAATGTTGGACAATAGATTTTTACTTAAACTTCAGTAAAAGACTTCTTGGTCAATGTACTCACTGGGGGTCACGGACCTGGTTTTTTCGTTAAAATACAGAGAAATAAACAAAATTACAGTGATTTTACATGGTTTAAATTGGGGAAACTGAATTTTTCCATATTGAGGAAACATTATACGATAGAATTTCATTTCATAAATACTTCCACATATATCAAATAAAAATAAGGGGTCATGGGCCTTATTTTGTTGATAAATCCAAAAAACACAAATTGTCTTATATCAAATTCAATACAATTATCAGCCCTTGATTTTAAAAGGATTTTTTATGAAAATTTTAAATACACTTGTCAACACTTAATATTTTGATAGTTTAATCTTTAAATTTCAAGTTTTAGATGTTTCTGTTGTATATTGAATGATACTTGGTAAATATTTTTTGAAATATGCCCAGACGGGATGCTCAGAAAAAAAACACCCGATCTACCTTAATTAAAACAAGAGTGAACACACTGAAATGTCTCGCCTTCTTTACTAATCATTGATATTATGTTGATAGTCCTCAATATAAAGCTTTATTACAACTGTCACATAAACTTAACATTAACCAAGAAAACTAAACATTGACCGATGAACCATGCAAATGAGTTCAAGGTCGGATGAACCATGCCAGACAGACATGTACAGCTAACAATTCTTCCATACAACAAATAAAGTTGACATATTGCTTATAGTTAAAGATAAACAGACCAAAACACAAAAAATTAACACTGAGTAATGAACCGTGAAAATGAGGTCAAGGTCAAATAAAACCTGCACGACTAATATATAGATCATAAAATATTTCCATACACCAAATATAAATGACCTATTGCATATAGTATTAGAAAAAAAGACCAAAACTCTAAAACTTAACTTTGACCACTGAACCATGAAAATGAGGTCACGGTCAGATGACACCTGCCAGCTAGACATGTACACCTTACAATTATTCAATACACCAAATATAGTAGACCTATTGCATACAGTATAAGAAAAACAGACCAAAACACAAAAACTTAACTATTACCACTGAACCATGACAATGAGGTCAAGGTCAGATGACACCTACCAGTTGGACATGTACACCTTACAGTCCTTTTATACACCGAATATACTAGACCTATTGCTTATAGTATCTGAGATATAGACTTGACCACTAAAACTTAACCTTGTTCACTGATCCATGAAATGAGGTCGAGGTCAAGTGAAAACTGTCTGACTGGCATGAGGACCTTACAAGGTACGCACATACCAAATATAGTTATCCTATTACTTCTAATAAGAGAGAATGTAACATTACAAAAAAATCTTAATTTTTTTTTCAAGTTGTCACTAAACCATGAAAATGAGGTCAAGGACATTGGACATGTGACTGACGAAAACTTCGTAACATGAGGCATCTATATACAAAGTATGAAGCATCCAGGTCTTCTACCTTCTAAAATATAAAGCTTTTAACAAGTTAGCTAACGCCGCCGTAGCAGCCGCCGCCGCCGGATCACTATCCCTAAGTCGAGCTTTCTGCAACAAAAGTTGCAGGCTCGACAAAAAGGATAACTGACAGTTATATGGTAACATATTCAATAAAAAAAAAATGAAAACTTTACGTTTTAAATTACATGCGTACGAAGCGCTTTTCTGGATTTAACTTCATCAGGAACACTCAAAGCCGAATATTGGAAAGCCAAGGATGTATAAGAACCAAAACCATTGAAGAGCTATATAACCAAAAAAGACCTAAGAAATATCCAAATCCATCTAGGGTCAACTTTGCCTGAGGAAGTTGAAAGCTTAGTTTCTTTATAATTTCAAAATTTATAAATGGACAATGTTAAATTGATAATGCTACTTGAAAAAAGTCTGAGCAAATTATACTACTAACAAAAGTATAAGGTTAACACAAAAATGACTGTTCAACTGATTACAATGGATCTCCGTAAAGATTTCTATTTTGAAATAACTGTTGGGTTTTGTTGCAGAAGTTTACTGATTGTAACCTAGATATACAGTCAACACAGAATCATGGATATTAAGAACTGTAAACGTGTACAAGTGAGATGATAAAGCAAATTGTTTTTTATCATCAATTGGTTCCCATTTGTAAACTAAGTTTTGTCATAACAGTTGTTAAATGGTTTGGTATATTAACAGATTCTTTCACAATCTGTTAATACTACCTTCCTACGTTTGCTAACTTTTTATTCTATCACATTTTTCTCCTTCACACTTGTGCAGTGCGATTGCCAAATTTCTTACGTAAGGTGTCATATTAAAGTCACGACATACAGAAAAAAATCATAGAATTAGAGTAACATGAGTATGGGAAGAACATAATTCAATAGCAGAACATAACCTGAAGATTTGGATAAAATATAGGATTTTTCGGTTAAAAGAAAGTATATGACCATATGTTTTATAACAAAATTTAGCCATTCATTTATATGAAAAATGTTCATCATTTAGTTAAAATTGGAGAATCATATGGCTTAAATTATCCAAATGTGTTAACTTACAGCATGTATCGTATGAAGAGAACTGATTACGTAAAGCATATAAATTACATACTTACTTGATATGTGCTGCTAGTTTTTCCATTCTTGGTTTTAAGTCTGTCGCATAGTTGCTCGACGTTAACATGTTTGATATTAAATAGATACTTGCGCCACTCATTTTGTCCAATAAAACATTTCCTTCAAACGTTAGGTTGGCACTGCAATCTTTGTAATAAAGTTTACCAGTCTTAGTTTCTTTTGCTTCCATGGTATAAGGCTGTCAAAGATATTATTTGACAATCACGGGTTTAATTCTTTTCTTGGAAAAGTCTAATCATATAGTTGGGATTGGAGATATTATGAAAGTTTTTCAGTCAATGAGAAAAAAACATTCCTAAAAATCAAGTTTGCAGTACTTTTTTCAGGTCTTGATTATTTTAAGAAATTATGAAATTATGGATGTAATACTTCATTTTGATGTGTACCAGTATTGTTTATTTTAATTTTAATTGTTTCTTTGTTTATTTTTTGAGGGCTTTTTTCATTTTAAATAAAATGTAATTCAGTATTGTAAAACACACGTCCATAATTAAACATTTATTGTCTACATAAGGTTAATCCCTATATTTTTTCCAAGCCATGCTTATCTACCTTTATTCTTTTTAAACCTTCGCTGTCCACTAGTATATATATAGAAATTTAAGAAAACGTAATGAAAATACTTTTATATCATGTATATAATTCAGGGAAGACCTGAGAGACAAAACATTCCCCTTGATAGGCCTTATATTTAGCATTCTCCATTTATATGTTGTTTTCTCTCTCTCGATATATACACTTATACTGGTAAATATAAACATCTTACCACTTCTGGACTTCGTAACAGAAGATGACACTTCAACCCAAGCTGTGCTGCAGCTATTGCTGCAGACCTGGCAAAATTAGACTGAATACTGCCACAAGTGATTACATTCTTACAGCCTTTGTCAATGGCATCGGCAAATAAAAACTCTAGTTTTCTGACCTGAAAGAAGACACTGATAATTTGGTCCCACTCTAAATTTTACAAGTATATATTTATAAATTGTTTTTTTTTAACATGTTTAACAGGTTTTAGTTTAGCCCATTTCTTCTCATCTTATGAAGAAACTATCATCATCATTTTTGAATTGGATCAGATTCATTCGAGGGTTCACGCATATAAATAGGTTGTTTTTGTAGTCTTTCGGAATACCGGAAATGCCTACTATCTTTTCGGAATACATCTGTTCTTTTCTATGGCCGCCTGCGTAATAGGTAATTAATTGATCGAATGAATATGTATTAGCGTTTTACAGTTGCTATAGAGATAAGTTTTAATCGAGGCTGATTGATATCCTACATCAGTAGTGAATTATATTAGAGTCGCTTATGCATGATATGCTAAGTTTTCTGAAATACAAGCTGTGTTCACATGGGCGATTAAGTGACGTCAATGGATAGGGCATTTTTATAATTTTAAAACTGAGTAATTTCAACGTTATTTAAAAAGAGCAAAGACCGTTTAAGCAGCAATTAAAATTCTACATCCAGGAAAGATGCGAACAAACAAGGAGTTTCTAAAATTGTTTCTATTTTAATTAAAATAGCAAAAATGGAATTATTATTTGAAGTCCATTACTTTAATTGGTAAAATATTGGAACAAAATATCCTTAATCGTTATCAAAATCCAAATTAAAATAAATAGAAAATAAATTAAACATAATAAAGAAATACAAAAAGAACCTTAGAATCAATGCAGATATAAGATGCTACAACGAAACGTTCTATCATTGTCTATTTTTTAAAGTTATAAAAATATTTTTAGCGTCATGGTTTCGATTCTGAAAGATTAATTAAATGTTTGGGCGTGATGTCTGTGATGTCGGATATTATGCATATGCAATAGCAGTGGTGAAATACTAATACAGGGTCAGTGATAAGATAATGAATGTCTTTTATAGAGACAGAGTGATGATATATACAGTCAGAGAAAAGATAATGAATTTCTATTTATAGCAATTAAGGCTCTACATTGTTATAAAAATATAAATAAGGAAACAAGACAACTCGGTGACATCAAGCAGCTAGTTTTCTCATATGAATTGTTTTACATTTGTCATTTCGGGGCCTTTTATAGCTTACTATGCGGTATGGGTTTTGCTAATTTTTGAAGGCCGTACGGTGACATATAGTTGTTAACTTCTAACTCATTTGGTATCTGGTGGAGAGTTGTCTGATTGGCAATCATACCACATCTTCCTTTTTTTAATTTTATATAAAGAAACCATTATAATCTTATTTAAAAATGCAAGTCAACCCTGGAAATAACGACCAAATTAAAAGGCACCTTAAGCTTTTAGGTGTGTTAAATGCATAAATTGTATGTCATATCGAAACAGTTCATAAATGAATATGCGTTTGAGTCCTTAAAATAATTCTATAGATATGAAACGATTTACAGACACACTGAGTGATATTCTTTGTGGTATGTGACCCCCCGCCGACACACACACACACACACACACACAAAATCAGACTAAAAGTTGAAGTAGCAGGTGCACAACTTCATGTCCCACCTTAAAAAGAATCAGTGAAAGTTTCTGGAAATTCCATCAATTTGTTTTCAAGGAGTTGAGGCAATCTGTATTCATGAGCGAATTTTTAGGGTCTAGTTGACAGAGTCCTAGAGCGTTTTGACGACAAAATAGGACAATATCTTTACAAATTAGGCGATACAAAAACGTGTGTATTGATAAGCAAAAAATAGCACAACGTAGTAAAAAATTATTTTTTTTTAAATCAATATCCGTCAATATGCGATTGCAAAAACAGGATTTTTAAATTGCTTACTGGACATGAGATGTCGACTTAAGCCAGGAAGCTACCTCTAATTTTCAAAACAGCACCTTAGAATGAAACATACAGTGGTTGCCTCCTATTTAGCATGTTGTAATGTTATCTATCGGAAGAGAAAGGGAGAGAGAGAAATGATTTCTTTAACAAGAAAGTTATGCCCAGTTATATAAAAAAAATGAGGTAAAATCATGCATCTTTATATAACAATTATCTGATCTTATATACCAAACAGGCATTTAGGTTCACGAATGCATTTCTTTTTTTAAAGAAAGCAACTTGTTATTATTGGTTTTATCGTATATCAGGTATTCATTGAAAAAATTACTCATATCACTATGGACACAAACATGGATATGATATAGAGAGTTAGAGTCAAAGTAAAAATTTAATTAAATACCAAATTCCTGTATTTTAAAACTACATCTTGCTATATTATAACATGTTGTAATGAGCATTTAACATGTTTAATGAAGTTATATTGAAAGGAATAAAACATATAAAATGGCCAACTTTCAAGGTAAAAATGGAGAAGCAAGTTATAAGTTGACCAATGCAACATTGAAAACAAAATGTGTAAATTGACGCCAAAAGAAAACTAATGCACCTGTCAAATAATCTTATTTCTGAAGGGGACACACATGAATTCAAGTCAGAGCTGTAAAATGTGTGGTCAAATGCAGCCAAACTAGAACATACCTCATAAATCTAATTGGAAACCATTTGCAAGGTATGTAAACCCTCCAGATGCTAGGCAAGGTGTGAATCATTCAACAGAGAACAAACATGCCTATTTTACTGGTTTTTTTTAAATTAAAGATGGTCCTATTCTTCAGCTGCCAGGTCGTTTGAAATAATCTTTAAATCTAAACTTCAGTACAATAGTTTCCATGCTTGTTTCAATTCTGGTTCACTGGTTTAAAACAAACTAATATTTTTAAATTCTATTACTAGGACCAATAATTGTACTCTCAATTTTAGTCTTGAAATTGGGTTTGGAACTAGTTGCAGTAACTGTGAGTACTCTTATATCAGTACTTTGTGTCTTTTTTAATTTGTACCAATCTGATGAGTCAAGCCGGTTGCATCTGAATTTTAGAGTTATTTTTAATGTTGTGCTGTTATACTACTATCCTTGTTTAGGACATTTGAGCTCTCACAAACCTTTTAATGTAACCTCATTTTTATGTGCATGTCCCAAGGCAGTTGCCCAGTGGTTGCCCTCTGTCATTCGTGTTATATGTATACTGTAAAAAATATTAGCTTAAATCAGGCCATTTTTTTATGCTTTGGATTGTTTTGTATTTACAAATTGCTATCTTGTGTAATCAAAATGTAATATAGCTTACTATAACACATAAATTTAAGCATGATAAGGTATGGGTTTTGCTAATTGCTGAAAGCTGTACAGAAACGTATAGAGTTACATCTTTGCAGTTTAGTCTTAGGTTGATGGTGTTGATTGTTGTCTCATTGGAAATCATACTACATGTCCTTACTTTTATATCAAAATATATGCAAAAGTTCAATATAAAAATAAGGAGATGTGGTATGATTGCCAATGAGACTACTATCTACCAAAGTTCAAATGAAGTGGATGTAAGCAATTATAGGCTATGTCCAGATGAGCTAAAAGGTACCAATATCAACACACCTTATTACCTGACAATGTTGACCCAGTCATATCATCTCTCTTGATGTAAACTTTAAAACCACTGGGTATATTTGGAAGTTTCCATTCATGGATTGGTGTATTCATATTACCAAGCTGAAAAAGATTTGGAAACAATATTTTTGTAAGTGTTTTTAACAAAATTCAAAATTCTTGTATTACCCACAAGTCTGGCAACATCTGAATGGATCAAAATAAAAATAAGGATTATGAATTAATTACTGTAATTGACCATATAAAATTGAGAATGGAAAAGGGGAATGTGTCAAAGAGACAACAACCCGACCATAGAACAGACAACAGCAGAAGGTCACCAACAGGTCTTCAATGCAGCGAGAAATTCCCGCACCCGGAGGCGTCCTTCAGCTGGCCCCTAAACAAATATATATACTAGTTCAGTGATAATGAACGCCATACTTAACTCCAAATTGTACACAAGAAACTAAAATTAAAAATAATACAAGACTAACAAAGGCTAGAGGCTCCTGACTTGGGACAGGCGCAAAAATGCGGCGGGGTTAAACATGTTTATGAGATCTCAACCCTCCCCCTATACCTCTAGCCAATGTAGAAAAGTAAACGCATAACAATACGCACATTAAAATTCAGTTCAAGAGAAGTCCGAGTCTGATGTCAGAAGATGTAACCAAAGAAAATAAACAAAATGACAATAATACATAAATAACAACAGATTACTAGCAGTTAACTGACATGCCAGCTCCAGACTTCAATTAAACTGATTGAAAGATTATGTCTTCATCATATGAATATCAGGCACAATCCTTCCCGTTAGGGGTTTAGTATCATACCATCATAACATATATGAGAAGAACATAACCCGTGTCATGCCAACAACTGGTTTTTAAATAAATGTGTTTAGTGCCGATGCAAAGACCCTATAAGTGAATCAATATTAACGCCAAAATATGCAATCTTTAATGACCTGACAACAGTATCGTAACTATATCCCTTCTTAATAAGTCTATTTAAAGGTTTTGTTAGCTTCAGAGGTGAATACTGACATTTTTGTGCTTTATAAAGAATATTTCCATAAAAAATTGGATGTGAAATACCTGAACGTATAAGAAGTCTGCATGTTGAGCTATATTTACGAATGATGTCCTTATACCGATGATAAAATTTAGTAAATGTTTTGACTAGTTTGTGATATCGAAAACCCTGGTGTAATAATTTTTCAGAAATACATAAATTTCTCTCGTTAAAATCTAAAACATTGTTACATACACGAGCGAATCGTACAAGTTGAGATATATAAACACCGTAAGATGGTGACAAGGGAATGTCACCATCTAAAAATGGATAATTAACGATGGGAAATGAAAAATCATCTCTTTTATCATATATTTTAGTATTAAGCTTTCCATTAATGATACATATGTCCTTAAAGGAGCATAACCTGTCAAATTCATGGTCATCAATTTGACTCAATTTCTTATATTTGATTTATATAGCACACTAAAATGTGACTATAACCAATTTACAAAAAGTCCAAAAGAAACAATTAACAATGACGCGATTGATTTTAATGTATTTTTGACTAGACGCCTTTTATTTTACCATAAGATGTCCTCTGAAGACTGTTGATGGTCATATCACCTGATATAAACATAAATATAAATATAAATAGACAGGCAGGCACGTGTAAACATTTACTGACTAGGTCTGTTTGATTTCATGTCATAGATTAAAAAATATGGAAATCATTGTTTTACCTGTAAAAGAATGCTTTTTTGTATGGGCCAAATCAGTCAAAGAAATGATTCTTCTTGTTGGCTACCTGTTTCAATTTTTTCAATGTTGACATTTTTATTTTTTAATTACATGCTTAGCCAATGCGTAACTCTTCGCCACATGCTCCAGCTAAGGGTTTAATTAAAGGACGCATGAATACAAATTCAAATGAGTTGAATTTTTGACTAATGCAAGCAAATAATACATCTGCAATATGTTTTAGCTTATTTTGTTCAAATTGAACCAAACTGACTGCTACTAACAAATTAATGTTTCGATATTCCGCTTTTATAAATGTTTGAAACAAGAAAAAACATATTTTAATATTTTGTCTATATTGTAGCTATAAATGCCCCTTTTAAGATCTTCAGATCAACAATTTGTGTTGTAATTGTTTGTAGTAAAGAAGCTCTCTCTAAAGCTAATGTTTTGATATATGAGTGAGCGCAGAATGCTATCTTAGTTTATTATACAACTAAATTTTCCAATTACCATTTATGTAGACTTTGAAAGTTTCAAATAAGTTAAATTGATATTGAAAAAAAATACAAGACAATAGAATATCATGCAGTTTAATCAATATAATTAACAATAAATCTATTGTGTAAAAGTAAAATATTTACATGATTTCATTTTGAACGATTTCCATACTAATCGTTTAAAAACGCCTGCATTAGCCTAGTCCAAAAAAATTATGACGTCTTGAAAGGCTATTTTAAGGCGTCACAGAAAAAAAAATAGCCTTTCAAGACGTCATAATTATTTGGACTAGCGTTAGCCCTGAACCAGCAGTTGTCTCTCCTTGTGTTTGTTTAAAGTTTTTTTAATCTGTAGATGCTTACCCTCACAAAATATTTAGGAATGTGTGACAGTCTGTTACTCCAGTTTGGTGGCAAAAATGGTGTCAAAACTGATGTCATCGTGCCAATGCAATGTTCGAAATCAACTTCCAAGCAAGGACTGAAGCTCATAAACTCGGCAAAATATTGGTTTTCCCCAATCTCCGGCACAGAGTTCATATCCGTTCCATACGTGCTTTGCAATACTTCACTTACTATTTAGCCCCTTGTATCTGGTGTTTTTGTAAAGACGTACGAGTCTGCACACACACATGTATATTCAATATTGTTTATGAATTCAACATTACGTAACACAATGAACTAAATCACCGGACTTGAGGGTATACAGTTCAGAATAATAAGAAGCCATTAACACATATAAGCGTGAAAAAATGCATGTACATGAATTCTACTCATTATATAATCTTCATGAGACCATAATAGTTGTAAACACCCCCTAGTAGAAATCATTAAATAATAAAAGTGTCCAATAAATTAAGTAACAATAGCGTAAAATAAAAGCCAATGATCAAAAGCACATTTAATAAAAAAAAAGAGACATTGCCAACTGGGCAATTGAAAATCATTATTTAATTAGAAACAGACAACACCCTGGACAAAAATATAAAATGAAAGAACAAATAACAATAACAAAAGTTAAATATTACATACCATGAAGAAAACTTAAAACTAAGCCACACATACTCCACCAAAAACAAAGACAGTGTTAAACACTTTTGTCACCTGCTGTGATGATGAAGAAAAAACCTGTCAATAAGTTATATCACAATCAATAATGAAAAACATCATTAAAACGGGAATTTAAATTAAATTCAGCCATGATCGAGACATCAATGTTTTGTATTAACAGGCACTACACAACAATGTTTGTCTACCTCATAAGCAGCATATGAATCGGAAAAGACCATTGCACATATTTTTGTTCCAAGATTGCCACAATTTACAAAATCACATGTTTTAAGGCTTGATGTATTAATATCCCAAAAATTATATGAAGTCTACTTTGATAAATTGTATTTTTATATCTATTTCAGAGTTTTTTAGAATAGTTTATTACTTCCAACAGAATCAAGCATCCTTGTTATTGGTTATCATATGTATCCATTCATTAACATGTAAGTTAAAAATATATTGGAAATCTTTGTAATTAAGTAAATAAGAAATTATTTCTGTTTGTGAGATAGGTCCCTTGTTAACTTGAAGTGTAGAAGTAACTTACCTCATAACAATGTATTATTGTACAATAATCAACTAATACTATTATAATTATAGTTATAGTAGTATTGACTCTATGGGGTCTACAATATAGTTTTTGAATTATAATGCCTTCCATCAAACAACATTGCCACCATGGCTTACAAATATAGTATAGAGATGAAATGCAAGTAGTTGTCATATTTTAGAAAATCATAATAGGTAAAAAAAAATTGACATTTGCTAAAAAGTTCAAAATGTCATCTACAATGCTCAATTTAATTTTTCCTTTCAATCATGAGTTGGTTATTGAAAATGTTGTCATTAAACAATACGTCTTTTCTTTTTGCTTATACAACACCATGCATAAAAATACATGTACATGTAATTCACAGATTGAAATGAATGAGAGAAAGACATGCAGCTAATTGTGCAATACACTGCAGGCAACAACATTTGCACTAGACTGTAAGAAGTGTGAAGGTAAAATATTTATTTGAAAACCATGCATCTTTCATTTCAAATACTTCTAATATATATGTTGGACATATGAAATAAATCAAAAACATTTTTTGATAAAAACCTAGCTTCAAAGATGCAGTAATGATTTAATCCCAATAAGTACACTTGTCTCTTTGTCTGTTTGTACACAATTCTACTGCATCATTTATGTAACATTCATTTTGATTTGAGAACACTAAAAATGTCCAGGATTCAATTCCACATTGTTTTTATAAAACATTTTCAGGCAATAGTCTTGATGTTTCCTTTTAGCTGCATTAAAATGGAGATAACGTTGGTAATCTCCACAAAAATAGATAATTTAAACTTTTAACATGTCTAAAATGTATAAATACATACTCTTCATGTTACTATCTCAGATGAAAGGTTACAGGAAATATTAACAGAAGCAATGGGAAAAGAACATGGCAGTTTTGTTTCTAAAATATTTCTCAACTCAAAAATGTTAATTATCTGCAAGAGTTAGTAGTATAAAAAAGATATGTGACACCAAAGACATGTTTAACAGAAATCTGTGAGTGGCACGTCCACAAACTGCATGTAACTCTGTTCCAAATTGTACTGGGGATGCATCAACTGACCATTCTTTCTCAATTGAAAGGTTCAATAATTAAACTACATGTACATGAAACAGGATTTCAATTCACATCATATTCTGTATCTGTTTGTTAATTCAGCTGAAAAAATATATTTCTATAAAAATAAGGAAATGTGGTATTATTGCTAATGAGACAACTATCAACCAAAGTTCAAATAAAGTGGACGTAAGCAACTACAGGAAACCGTATGGCCTTCAACAATGAGAGAAACCCATAGAAAATAGTCAGCTATAAAAAGCTCGGACATGCAAAATGTGACACAATTGAATTGATAATTAAAACAATATACGAAAAATACAAATATGACAGACAATCATGAACCAAAGACAACCATTGAACTACAGGCTCCTGACTTGGGACAAGCACATAAATAATGTGGCAGGGTTAAACATGTTTGAAGGTGCTAACCCACCCTTAACATGGGACAGTGGTGTAACGGCACAACACAAGAACAAACTATATAAATCAATAAACGAAAACCAAATACGAGAAATAAGCATATTTCTGGTAAGCAAATAATTTTGAAATGTTACCCAGATGTTATTCTAATATCATGTTTATGATGTGAGCGTTGGATTTAGGATACTTCCTTATCTATAAATTTGCTTTTGTATTTTTTGGTAATATTTATCCATCTAAGGCTACTTCATTGAAAACGTTTTTTTCTCAGGATGACGTCATAAGTCAACATCATTAACAATAGTATAGACATAAATATATTATATATGCCTTTTAACACAAAGAAGTTACTTATTTATTAAATCAGAGATAATTTATATTGATGTCCGACAACGGGCTTACAATATTAATAAACTGACTGGTAATTAATATGAACCTTTAGCACCAGTATAAAAAAATATATACATTCCAGTGCCATGCAATATGCAGTACTTTGTCATTTCTTTAATTCATCTCTTCAATTTTGCTAAAAATCTTTTCAGTGAAACATTACATAAAATAGAACCAACTGTTTAGGTTAATAAAACAATAATAGACCATTCGTATATGATCAACAACACATTGGTAAACCAGCTCAAATATAGATAAACTGTTATCACAGAGATATGTCTCGCCTTTTTGTAATTTCGATAATGCAAATGTTGAAATTAAAATAGCAATACTTTAACATGTAAGTTATGCAAATATTCAAAGTCAATGAACCATGACTGAAGGTACATGGCTAAACAATCTCCATTGAAATGAGATGTGCCAATGATAATACAACTGCAAACCAAATACCATTGAATTATCATAAGTTGTTCCCTTTAAATAAACCTAAACACAAACATTAACTTGTAAACTATGTAAAAGTTTCAAAGTCAATGAACCATGATAAGGGGTTGGGGCTATATAATCTCCATGAAACAAGACTTGAAAATGCCAATACATTTGCATACCAAATATCATTGACTTAACATAAGTGGTTCGTCTTAAACTGATCTAATCACAAACTAATACGTGTAAACTAAGCAAAAGTTTAAAAGTCAATAGACCATGACCGAGGATGCAAGGCCAAATATTCTCCATGGAAATGAGATGTGCTTATGATTGTACAACTGCATACCAAATAACATTGGACTACCATTGATGGTTCCCCTTAAACTGACCTAATCACAAACTGATACATGTAAACTTAGCAAAAGTTTCAACGTTAATATACCATGACTGAGGGAGCGGGGCCAAATAATCTCCATGGAAAAGAGAAATGCCAATGCTTATACAACTGCATACCAAATATCATTGACCTACCACTAGTGGTTCCCCATAAACTGACCTAATCAAAAACTAATACATATAAACTAAGCAAAAGTTTCAAAGTCAATAGACCATGACTGAGGGGGGCAGAGCCAAATAATCTCCATGGAAATGAGATGTGCCAATGCTAATACAACTGCATACCAATTATCATTGATCTACCACTAGTGGTTCACCACAAACATGACCTAATCACAAAGTAATACATTGTTGACGCCGCCGCCGGAAACATACCTATGTCTCGCTTTTTGGCTCCGTCAAGGCGAGACAAAAATAAAACCTTGAGAGGATAAAAAAAGACTCAAGTAACACTACAAGGAAATTGACAGGTATGTTATTTTAATTCAAATCAAAGTTTTATTTAAAGTCGATATTCTGTAATAAACACAAGAATGTTTTCGCTACAATAGTGCCAAATTATTCAATATATTTACCTTTGAACCAATATGATCATTTTAAATTCACTCATTTTTACATTATAAAGTTCACAGGTTTTCACAAATTTGCTCAATAACATGTTCCAACAAAGCAATAACATGCATATAAAATGTATACATTTTCTTTTAACTTATACACTTCAAATATATTATTCACATGTTTCCTTCTTTATTTAGATGATGAAAAATTGGAAATAAAAAAAAAATTCAGATGAAGTAAAAACAGTTGAGGACATTATGAAGCTATTCAAGGTCTGAAATATCTACCATAAATATAGGACTTAACTATATTGAATACATTTTATGTATTACAAAAATCAGTTTATATTTTGTGCTTTTAGCAGAGTATTATTTCCTTCTAATTCAAATCGTTTAGGATTTGTTTTTTAAATAATTCTAAACACGTCAATTGCAATAAATCTAATTGTGACTTTAAATTAGTACTTAAATGTCACATAGAATGTATATTGTGTAATGTAATTTCTAACATCTTTGTGCTTGTATGTTTGAAAGTTTATTAAATTTGATATATTTTTTAAAAGTCTTTAAATTAATATGTGCATTATATTTTTAGTATACATTATAATATGTTTGAAAAAAATGAATGCATTGTTTTCTTCCACTAGCCTTACACCTTCAATAAACTAGTTGCTCTAAAGAGCCTGTGTCGCTCACATTGGTCTATGTGCATATTCAACAAAGGACACTCTCCAACATTGTAGAAAATCGTC